AAAAAAAAAAAAAAAGAGAGTGGGCTGCCAACCTACCACCTACCAGTAGGTGTCGACAGGTGGAATGGTGGAGTGGAACCGACCAATCTAGGGGCGCCGACCATCGGCCTGACTACTCTGTGTATGTCACATATGTATCAACTAAAAGAGTGCACATTCCACAGCAAACGAAAAAAGAGCAAGCAACGTAAGCTCACTTGGTTAAGCATGCAAGTGGCATTCAGGAGGTTGTGGGCCAAATCCCCACTGACCACCTGCGGCACTCTTGATGCCAACCAACTGAGATAGTAGGCTTCCTCCCTCCGTTTGGTATCGGTAGGGTCTTTGGCCATCACGGGTGTGCGTGTGTATGTGTGTGGATTGTGTGTGGTGTGTGGGAGAGTGCTCGCCATAGACAGTGCTGTTACTCAATCGGAGCAGGGGAAGTAGACGGGAGGTGCAGCTACTGGCAAAACGCTCGGTCTTTGTGTTGACCGCTGCCCTCCCCAGCCGCCGGCCTCACCCTACTCCCTGACCACCGCCAATTGGGGCGAGGGGCAACATGCGTCCCCTTAATTGTGAGAGGTAGCTATGCTTGCAGGGGTCCCCTGTATAGGCTTAGGAGTAGCGGTAGGTAGGTGGTGAAAGGTGAAATTGAGAGAAGAATATTACCTTGGTTAAAAAAAAAAAAAGAAGGCAGGAAGATAGCGGTCGTCATCAACCATATGCCATTTGGTCCAATGAAAACCGAACTGAGTGCTTTTCCGTGAAAGCCCTCCAAGTGTAAGGCTTGCAGGGGTCCGCTGTATAGGCTTAGGAGTAGCGGTAGGTAGGTGGTGAAAAGTGAAATTTGAGAGAAGAATGAAGCTTAGGAATATAAAAAGAAAAAAGCAAACAAAAAAGTAAACAAGACAAACAAGAAGAGCACACTGAAACCATTCTTTTGATCATTTCTTCTTTTAGCTCCCCCTTAACTGGGTATATATATTGTCACATATCTACCAACTAAAAGAGTGCACACTGTGAAACAAACGACACAAATACACCAGACAACCATGAAAAGCACACAAACCAGTCTCCCCCTTAACTGTGCCTCTCACGTAGAAGGCTTGCCACGTTGATGAAGTTGAAAGGCAAGCTGCCCACATCCCTGTGTGCCATAACGGCCCACTTGTACGCTGTGAAGAAGAGGCAGAGCAAAGGGGGAGGGGATAAACACAGATAAAATATGGAAAGAAGACAAATTAAAGGAAGACAAAGGGAAAGCAAAGGAAAACAGCCAGGAATTAGGGGAGAGTAAGGAGTGTGGAATCGAGATGAAAGCATACAAAAAGATAAGTCCGTCCTTGCAAAAGAGGGGACATATATTGTAAGGATGCGACAGATGTGGGCATGGAAGACCTAGATGAGCATTCTGAGTGCAGAAATTCCCACCGCGGCTGGCACTGAGCATGCCCATCAAACGATCCCGACAAATGGCATGTCGATAGCAGGTCAACATGCAGGAAGAAGGGGCACCGCAAAAGACCATAGATTCAGTGTAACGCCCATGGCTGCAAAATGGACATATAGTGACCGGATCCGGAGGGTGCTCAGGAAAGGAGGGACAGTGACATTGTAGTGATTGTGATAGAGACAATGATGGCTGCAGCCGAGTGTAACAGTGTCGGTAGCTGTGCAAAGGAGAAGGTCGCAGAGTGTTGATGCATTGGACTGAAACCATGAGAAGTCGGTGGACTGCACGCAGAAAAGAAACCAACTGAACAAACGGGGTGGAAAAGCAACTGGACTGAAACATTCCACAACTGGAATCTCCCAATAGAACTTCTGGATAAGCGGAAAAGAAGGAAGAGAACCATTGTCAAGCTGGCAAAGATCAGTAGCAGGAGACCTGGATACAACCAACGGAGTCTTTTCTAAATTGGATTCGAGTAATGTCAGCCTGATCCACACCGTGAACGCATACTCTGCTCTAAAATTGTCCACACTGTGAAGCGCAACGCTGAGCCTGTGCAATCAATTCTGCACTCTCGACATTTGGCTTGACAAACACACTCGAGCGTATTCAGAAAAGTTCCAGTACCCACACATAATTTTTGAGCTGATTGATTCAGAATCTTTGAGCGGACTAAATCTTCACCCTTTTACACAGTCTACAAACACGCATGCCCGCAAAAGAATAGCGAATTAATAAAGACACGAATCAGGTGACTCGCTCATCATGCACGCAAGCGAAGTGCCAGCAAATAAACCAAGCAATCCAACACAGATATGTCAGAACGCAGGCTAGAAAGAATGACTGTCAATACAACTGTATGGCAAACGTGTTCCGTCCTTGCATGCTTTCTCACCTGCCCCAACTTGTTCCTTTCACCCCTTGTGCAGAAAGCGCAGCCGGAGGTAGCTTGAAGCCCTGACCACTGCCCCCATTCCCTGGCAGTGAGCCAGGATCTGCCCTCCCTCCACCTGAGATCGGTGCAGCTCCTTGTGGTGTATTGGCCCCCCACTCATCTTGCACACATGCTTCATTCCCGTCACTGATCAGAAATTACGAAAGATAACGGACAAGAACATTGCAAGGTCAAAGCAGGCAAAGGCTCAGCCAGGCGCATGCAAAGTCCGATGAAACAGTCTCTCACAGGCCACTGTTTCTTGTCCTTTCCGCCCTTTCTGCCTACGGTCCATTGGGCAGTTCTAAGTGGCAATAATTATTGTCACATATCGATCAACTAAAGCAATCCGCAAAACAAAGGAAAGAAAGAGCAGACAGCATGACGCACACCAAAACCGTTCTTTTGAATTTTGCCTTTCTCTGCGCAATTCCTTATTTCTCAAGGCTGGGCCAGCACCCGGCTGGTTCACTTCCCTGGGTCCACCCAGTGCCGCACCAGCCCCGGGGGGGGTGAACCGGGAAACCGGTTCTTAAAAAAGAAAGAGCAGACAGCATGACGCACACCAAAACCGTTCATTTGAATTTTGCCTTTCTCTGCGCAATTCCTTATTTCTCAAGGCTGGGCCGGCACCCGGCTGGTTCACTTCCCCGGGTCCACCCAGTGCCGCACCAGCCCCGGGGGTGGTGAACCGGGAAAACGGTTCTTAAAAAAGATGCCAATTTTCAATTTGATTTTTTTGGCGGATTCGGATTGCGCTCGTCGAGATCTGTTGAAATCCGCAACAAAATTTTGAATGTGCGATTTTTTGTTGGACTTTTCAGGGGGGGAGGTGGAAGTAGCATTGGGATGTTCAGGAAGGGGTCGAGTAAACAAGGGTGCTTGTCAGGCCCCTTGTGGCCCAGAAATTTCAATTAATTTCAATTCCGCTCCATAGGATGTTGTGGATTATACCATCAGTCGCCAGCACCCCAGAAGCTGTGGACGAGATATGTTGAGAGATCGTCCTTGCCAAAACTTATTGTTTTTTCCAGAGTGTAGCTCGACATTCGAAAGGTTATGGGTTCAGGTTTCAGCTCGGGGAGGCAGAGCAATTTCTGTTTTTTTTTTTCTACATACGGTGGGTCATCAGTCCGAAAGTTTCTTGCCTGGCAGTCTCTCCAGATACATGTAGTGGAGCGAGGTCCATTATTCGGCTTGCACCTCAGACAGCATTGTTACTCTGACTTCACGAGCCGCAATCCAAACCCATAACTTTTTCCCCAGAGCATAGGAAAATTGCAGAAGCATATAATCTCAGCAAAGCCACCTCACAGGCATATTCTTTAACTTATGGATTCGAGTAGACGTGCATCAGCATGTGCCATTTACATCTGGTCTGTGGTCCACTGGACTACACGATGCCAAATTGGAAAACGGGTCCTATTAGACCCTGCACCTTGAAAAGAACATGCGGTGATTTTTCTCCGCTGATCTGTGAAGATCAGCAGCGGTGAGATCTTCGTGCGTTCTTTTCAAGAAGCGGGGTCCAAAAAGGCCCAGTTTTTTTTTGTAAGGAGGCAGCGGCCTCCCGTGTGCTGAGCCATCGCAGGGGTGCCCTTTACTCCCCGGTATCCCCCCCCCCCAAGCGTGATGCGCTGGGTTCGACCGGGGGTCTGCCAGGCCGGTCAACCGCCCAGTCCGACCGGCAGGCTCCCAGTTGGGGAAGGGGCCCCAGTCCAACCGGGGACCAGCCCTGTCATTTCTTTATTTTGACATTTTTCGCACTCTTTTTCTTTAGTCTCTCAGCTATCTATTCACCGTGCTTCTCAGCTGCAAGGTTCACTGCATTGGTGTAGTTGACCCTGAACTGCCTACACCCGATAACACCCCACTTGCATACTCTCAAAAGAAGCAGAGTAGAAGGAGAGGATTAACAGACAGGAAAAACAGGTCAACCCATCACAAAGGGAAAGCAAGGAGTGTAGAATACCCATCACAGCAAAGGGACGCATAACTGAAGACCCGGGAATCAGTCCGTCCTCGATGCCAGAGGGGAGACCCAGTAGGGATTAGATAGGTAACAACACGGACGACTTAGCTTAAGAAGCATTCTTAGCGCAACGGCTGCCACAACGGCTGGCATTCATTAGTCATACCCACAAGAACTGGCATGACGGAGGTGGTCAGGGCGAAAGAGAAAGACTGGCACACTGGCCTCCTCAACGAATTTGCCTGAATAAGAACATACCTGGCCACAAAATAGACAAAGGATGTCTGGGTACAGAGGGGCAGCCCTGTGCACATGTGACTGCAGGAACCATGCCAATATAGTGATTCAGGAAGTGATAGTGACACTGCAGCCAAGTAACAAGAGCTGACACATTGCCCTGCTCCAGCACAGAGGGAGACAAGTGATCCTCACCATATAAGAGTGCACAGATGGTTTGCTGAGGCAAGAAAAAATCACCATTGCGAAGAACTTCCCAACATCAACTTTGTCGTGGTCATACGCACGACCCATGGCCATGCATGGCCAGGTCGATGTACAATGGAGGCAAAGATCCAACAGGGAGGACAAAACCAGTCATCCAGCCTTGGACGGAGGAGTTCAACTTCCCTCATGGCGACTTGTAGGACCTCAATCGTAAAGCCTCCATCCCTGGTATAGTCACTTCCTTTTGTTATAGACAGGAAAGATCCAGGTAGCATCCTTGGTAATAAAGTGGTAGCGCTATGTCCAGGTAGGGATGGTGAAGAGGTGTAGGGAGTCTGACAAAAACAATGGTGTTCAAACTTCACAGCCTAGCGAATGTGCACCTTTGTTGAATGAACAGTGATGATTACATAGTATTGCCACACATATCTTCTCAGATACAGAAGTCGAGAGTTTATTCACAATGTGCAAGAACATATGCATGAGAGAGAGGACCAGATTCAAGTTGGAAGAAGAAAACGTGGACATAAATCATGCTATGAAGCAGGGTTTGCCATGGATGCCAGCCGTCAGAGCCATGAACAAGGGCCACGTGGAGGCCTACGGCCGGCATAGCATTCCGCAGGACGTTGATGCTACAGGTCCCTTTCACAGTCTAATTAGTGCCTCCTGCCGACCTCAAACAAGGTGGAAATCAGCATGAAGAATTATCAAGGTGATTCGCGAGCACTGACGCTTGTACTATGTTATTTGAGAATCGAGTAAATAACATTCAATCTTCTACACTCTGGTACCCTCGTAGATCCTCCAGAGGAACAGGAGTAACGACAAACGATATACACATGTAGTTTTGTTCCATTAGCCAATTTAGCCTCCAAAATAAAGAATCACACACACACACACACACACACACACACACACACACACTGAAAGAGCGAGAGAGAGTGCACGCCATTTGTTACCTGAAGTATGGATCCCAGCAAGCAGAATCCCCAGGGGGTGGAGAAGTGTCATCGTCTGAGCCAGGATCTCCTGCACCTGCATTTGACAAACCAGAGGGACCAACCACTCTTCCACCACTCAGACCAGGCATGGAAAGAGCGGTGGCAGTAGCTACTCCTCCAGTGACAATCGTCAACCCAGTACATCCCCCACTTCCAGCACCTGAAGAGCTTGGAAGATGCCCCATGCGTCCTTGAGACTGACCAACACTTGCCCCTGGGTACGAACCTGTCTCCGGATTGAAATTGCTCCGCATTCTTCTCTGTGCAAGGGAATGAGAGGAGCTTGAACCTAGGGGAGAGCCCAGATGTGTGGCCCCTCCTCGACTTGATGGACCTGATGGGGCAGAGATATCCATGAATCCAACCTGTTCGACAGTGCTCCCATTTGGCTGCTGTACTCGTGGCCACTGTGCCGAAGCCTGATCGTACATACTTGACCCACTTGCAGCTCCAGTGACACCCCCGTGACCAGCCATCGCACGAGTACTACGCCTTTTAAATTTATCCTTACGAAGATTGGAACCAGCCCCTCTATCTTGCCTGGGAGATGACGGCCCAAACTGTCTTACGGGGGAAAATTGCTGAGGGCTTGATCCATGAGGAGAAAAACTTAAACTGCCTGGAGGTGTGAACTGTGATGGGCTTGGACCAAGAGGCATTACTGTCCTGTATCCACCACCAGTTGATGGGCTGATACCAAGGGTGCCGGAGACATTTGCAGGCACTTGAACAAATAATCTGCGTTCCGGGCTTACTCCGAGTCTTGTTGAAGGTTGGCCTGCGCTTCCTGGACCCATCCCCACTCCAGAGCTCGGCGGAGTTGCGAACAAGTACATATTATTCGCCTCATAGCTGCCATAACTGCTTCCCATTCCTGTGTTCTCTCCATAGCTGCTGTAGCTTCCAAAGCTTCCATGGCTGCCAGGTCCATAGCCTCCATAATTTGGGCTGAACGGATGGACCGCAACATGATTGACCTAAAGGAGAAGTAAAGACCCCCCACAGCACTCGGTCAGTGAATTGCAGTCACAGCCAACGAGATCATCCCTTGTAGCTTTGATTGCAAAGGACAAAGCTAATCCCGGCCCACACCTTACAGCTTTGCCCACAAAAAAATAGAGTAAGGAAGGACAAAGCTTCGATATGCATGGCAAGTCTTTTGCTCTCCTCATGTTTTCGCCACCAAGTGCTTTGGAACTACAGATCAAACATCCATGAACCACCAGCACCTCAAAGCCTCATTTTCCGGCTGCTCAATTTCACCCACCCCTGGAGGACTAGCAAAACGTTGCCGTTGTTGCCGTCAGCACTGGCAGGGGTGGTCATAAGCGTCAACTTCGTTCCATTTTTCGACAGGCAAAACTTCTTTTCTTCTTGATTGCCCAGATATTTTCCACTTATCCAGCGGCATGTACCACACATCCAAGAGTTTTTCAGAGTTTTTGCTGAAGGAGATTAGAGCGAAAAGTTGCCGAAATGCCGACACCCCAAGTTCTGTTCCCCCTGACCGTTCTCTGTCCCCTGCCACTGATATTTCTCTGGGATGACTGCCATCCCAGACTGCCATCCAGTCCTCAATTCCCATGTTCGGAACGTTGACAGACAAACTATTTAAATCCAATGATGACCTAGCATACCTGAAGCACAGAAGAAACTTACCATCGGTGAAAGGCACGCATTGGCCCAATGCCCTCCTCTTGTCGGATTATGTGCAAAGGCGATGCTTGGACCTACAGGCTGCAGAAGACAAGATGCACGCAATGTGTGAGGTGTCAGTAGCACTGCTTCTATAAAACAGTGAAAGACTCGTCGTTTTGAGATTTGTACAGCAAAGAATTCTGCAGCAACTGGAAGCACAATGGAATTCCACCAAGCACAAGAGTTGATTTCATTTCGACTGCTGTTTCCTCCTCCGTTGGCCGTCTTCTCCTTTCTGCCATATATGTGGGCTGCTGTCTTTGCCTGTGCATGTGTTTCCCTGCTCACAAGCGACCTACAAGAGCCTGCAAAGCAGGACTTGTATCCATGCCAAACTTTTTTTCTTCTTCAAAAATTCCTCCTCGTGCTCCTCTCCCTCCTCTTTCTCCACTCCTATGCCATGGTTGTGCACAGTGGTCACCACATACTTCAGAAAAGACCACAGTGGTCACCACATAGTTCGAAAAAGACCACAGTTGTCACGGTATCACCACATAGTTCTGAAAAGACTGGTGGGGCACAGGGATGCTGCCGATCCCCCCCTTTAAACCACCAAAAGACCACAGTGGTCACCACATAGTTCGAAAAAGACCACAGTTATCACGGTATCACCACATAGTTCTGAAAAGACTGGTGGGGCACAGGGATGCTGCCGATCCCCCCCTTTAAACCACCAGTATCTCTGAGACTCTTTTTTCTGAGGCCGATTCCCCCTGTGCACCAAATTTCGTCGAAGAGGCGTCCTTTCTTTGTCTTTGCTTTCGGCTGGCAGCGGCAGCCATTTTGGTCCAGTAGCCCCGAGCCTCCATAATTTTTGGATTTGCTCGATTTTGATTCTCAAGTTTGCCTGGGCGAGGTACTGGTGGTTTACGAAGATGTATGGTATGCTCATTTCGGACACTAGCAGCACGTCCTTTGGTTCTACCCAGTCCCCTTTTCTCTCAGGGTCATCTGATTAACACATACTTGCACATACTTCCCCCCCCCTAGTTCCCCATTGCTACTGAAGAGCAAGCAGCATTGTCAATCACCACCGGGTACGGCAGACATCCTTTGGTTCTACCCAGTCTTGTTAAAGAAATTACCCCTTTTCTCCCAGGGTCATCTGATTAACACCTAATCCTACAGTCGAGCACAGGACTTGCGGATACAAACGCCAACCCTTAGGTTCACGTCTAATCAAGATATTGATTAAAAAAACTTGCAAAAACACACGGACGAGCGCAGGACTTTCGGGTACAAACAGCACCCCTTAATTTTGTTCTCAGAGAGATACCATATGACCATGGACAAGAATTGATTGTGCGCATGGGAATACCAAGTTACCAACCCTCAGATCATGAAGCACACATTCTCATGTGACTTTCTTACAGGAAATGACATAACTTTATATCCGATCCAAGGTTTTGAAATATTGACTGGACTTCGAAACTACCCACCATGCAAGGTTCTACCAAACCAATTGTTTTGGCAGTTAGACACCCTTAGATGAAAGAGTAGTGGTATTTCAAGCTCCACGAAAGAGCAGTAATTCAGGATTCCGTGTATTCTCTGACTGTAGAATCTTAATATATGTCAGCATGATCCATGGAGACTATTCCACATTTTGCCATGGGTATACAGTCTCCTTTCAAAAATCCCTGCTCTCGCAGTGTGGTCGGCATTCTCACTTCTGATATCTCCAGCTGTTTTCACAAACAGGCTTTTTCAACTTACAGACCGTTCCACTACTGACCCTGAAGATCAATGGCAACAAATAAAAAACTCAAAACATGAAAGTCCATGTTGAAAACAGTTGAATATATTTATGGCAAGACGACTATCGATTCTTAAACAACCCATATTTTATTACTTTCTACATTCAACAATCATTTGGTAGGCATTTGAAAGAGACTAGTTTCCAAACAAACACAGTATGTGAAAAAAAAAAAAAACAGCAGCATTACATGCCGAGCTCTCTAGATAAATGAGACAATAGCCTATTTTGACAACCACTTGCCATCAAAAACAGGGAGGGCATTCAATTTGATTCAAATGAATATTATATTTATACATCAAATCAAATATGTTCAGAAAATTTGAGAAAATAACAAAAAAACTGAGTGATGCATGGGTCCTGGGGACCATCTCACGCAGATGTGTACATGTCATGCATCATCTTCACACGCAGTGATCAATAGTCTCAACCATAGACAAAGGTAGAGAAGAAGAGGACCGAGTTTCACAGCTAATATTATCAAAAATATGATTACAAAGTGTTTCAGAGCTTCACAGCTTATATTATCAAAAATATGATTACAAAGTGTTTCAAAGCTCCCCTGAGTCCAGCGCTCATCAGCGTAACACCAATATCTTGCCAACTCATCAATATGACTTCCAGTGAATCAGTGCTACCCCTGCAGATAGTCTCCAAGTCATCAATGTGGTCACTACTCATCAGCGCCACCTYTGCARGTCACATCCRRCTCAGRTMAGTATCTTCCATAGCCAAACCTTGAATGAACACTCTCAGCCTCAATCCCTTCCTCCTATGATGCATACACACTCTTTAATACTCATGAGGATCTACTCTGGATAC